GAAAACCTCCACAAACAGAAGCTTGAATGACAAGCTCAATGGAGACTGTTCAGCCAAGTGACCAAACCTCTTGTCTGTGTCATTAGTCCGTCTCGTGCAAACCGACCAAAAAGAGCAGCTCACAGACACTCCAGTGACGCAAGCAAGTGGAGATATCCTTTCAACTTCTATTCAGAGTTATAACAAAACATGCCAGAAGAAGGTTCCGAATTTACTGTCATCGTAACAAGCCCACTTACTTTCTCTTTTCTCTTACCCTCAGTTTTTGAGATTTTTTTTTAAACAATGACCAAGCATTTCAAATGTCCGGAACAAAGGGCTTTTAGAAAAGTTTTGAAAATGCACATAAGAAAATGTAAAGCTAAGGAAGAAAGCAAATCAATTGCTGTCAATTAGTGTCCATGATAAATAAAAAAAGAAAACTGTAGTTAAATAAATGTGCCAAATTCTTAATTTAAAAAAAAAAAAAAGAAAAAGAAAAAAAAAGTATAATTTTTTCTCTTTGCATTTGTGTAATTTTACATGATTATGAAAACTTTTAAAACATCTTTAAGAAAATGTCATTAAGTTCTGGTAAGGTAACAACGTTTTGCTTACACAATGAAACCATCTACACATCTTAATCTTTATTTTCTAAAATAAAAAAAATCATGATAAAATTAATAATTATAATTGTTTACTAAATATTTATGATTTACTAATAAAGAAATAGATATTAATAGTATTCTTGTTATTACTATTTTAACATCATGTGTACATTAATAGTTGGTTTCTAAAATAAATAAATAAAAGGTTTAAATAATAATCAAGGTAAAAAGGTTTATAATAATCAAGGTAAAATTATTATTTAAATAAATATGAGTTATTAAGTTTGGGGAGTTGCATTACATAATATGGTGGATAGGTATTCAGGTCATTCTATGTATGAATTGCATTTAAACATTGGTATAACACTTTATTTCGATAGTCCACTTTAGACATTCTACTAACAGTAAGTAACTTTGCAACTACATGTCAACTAGCAGTCATTAGAGTATTAGACTGTCTGCTTAATGTCTTCTAACACTTTATTTTGATGGGCCCCACAACATACAACATACTGACTATAAGAAACTTTGCAAGTATATGTCAACTTATTCTACTAACCCTAAACCTAACAGTCTAAGTTAGTAGACATGTAGTTGCAAATTAATGAGAATTAGTTGACATGTAGTTGCAAGGTTACTCATAGTTAGTAGAATATCTAAAGTGGACTATCAAAATAAAGTGTAACTTAAAAAAAATATTAGTTAAATAGGGGGGGGGGGGGCTTTAACCCTTGGGTGT